TCTTACAAAATTTCAGTTAACCACTGCTGTTAAATCATAAATTTATGAGCCAAAATGGTCTTTAGCATATACACAAAACCAAAACAAGGCAATCAAAACAAAACATTTTAGTCAAATTATGCAAATTCAAAAAATACACAGTAAGTGCCATTGAAAGAAAGTGCTTTTTGAGCAAAGCCATAGCCAGTCACTGAAACTATTTACAAAAGCAATACTGCATTATGTCATTGTATTTTGCGGGCAGTGCATTCAGGCAGACGCTCTGATTTCCGTATCGATTTATTCGGAGAATTTCACCGGCTCTTTGCAGAGAATTTGAGTTGTCGAGCTTCAGAATCTAGAAATCTTGCTTCAAAAGATGAACTTTTTGCTTCAAAATTTGGCTCAAAAACTCAAACTCGCCGTGTTGAACTCCCCGTTGCTCGGTTTCATTTTGAAAACCGCTTCGAAAGTTCTCGTTTTCTCAAACGGCACAAAAGCAAGCAATTTGATCTAAAAGTTTCTTTTCACGAAATGGTGGGCCACTTACCGTATCCAGTGTCAACGTGTGACACAAATTCTCGGCTTCTTTATCCGAGATCAGTTTATTTAACTCAAAAGTTGCTATACCTCCAGCGGCTTTCCCCAGCTTTTTGTCGCTGAAATTTGATGTTTTCTTTGAAAATTCAATTCCCTCACGTAATCTCTTTTTTTCATATTCACAGAGACAATATGAAGTGTCGATTGGGATATTTCGACACGTTCTTTTCTGATATCTCTCACTGAACGGCCTCAACAGAGAGGTCCCGTTATTCTCGTTTTTCTCGAGGACTTCTTTCTCGGAGAAATCTGTGAAATTTGATGGGAGACCAAACTGAAATTTTAGTTAGATTTGAAAAAAGCTTCTCAAACCTTCAAGATATCGTTCAAAGTCGCGTAAATGTCGTAGTGAGTGACAAGGCGCTGCGCGTTTTCGTAGAGATTTCTCATCAACTAAAAACTCTATTGAAGAACTTTATTGAAACTTTATCGATGAAACTTTAAAGAAACTTTAAAGAAAATGGAAAGTTAAGTGGGGAATTAAAGAAAAGAAAACTAGTTTTTGGTATGTTTTTCATAAGTTAAAATCCAACTTATAAGTTCTAGTTTAAAGATTATAAGCTGAAATTTGACAGATTCACTAGTCGTGAAATTCTTGATTGTTTTACAGTTTTATTGTTTGGTATTTTGTATCAAGTCGTGCCTCTTTGTTTTCACGCAAAAACTTTGGCACGGTGATTTGCAGAAGCGGATTCTTGATCTCTCGTTTTCCAAGCGTTGTCTGAGATACCTAAAACCATTTTCAATCTAAAATTTCCAATCTCAGGTCTTTTTCACCGATCCGAATCGCATTCCATGATCTCCAACGAGTATAATAAAAGAATTCTCGAGCTTTTTCTGGTTTTCTTGAAAGAATGTCTGAAAGGTAGATCAATCTTAACAATGTAAGCCAAAATTGCTTACAAGAAAATCTTCGTCAGCATGGAACAGTAAATTTGCATCGTCGTGCGTTAGAGTGTTGCTCCAGTTGATACCGAATTTTGGTTTGCCTGGAAAAGGACTGCTACTTTTTGTCAAAGAACCGTCTTTCACATAAAATTTAATCAGCAACGTTCAGTAGAATAGATCTTTTTAGTGGCTCACCCTTGTACGAATCAATGAACTGTTTCATGTAGAGGAGCTCGTGTTTCTGCATTTCCCAGCAGTTTCCCTTCGACATGTGCTTCCTCAAATCTTTGTCTCCTTGATAAACAGTGGCCAGCGTTCTGTCAAGCGGCTTGTTTCAAAAGTGAAAAATGACAAATAATCACCGCATTAAATGATTCGCCTCCTGATTCTTGAAGTTCTTGCAGTTAGGCCACGTGAACGCCGGTCCATACTTGTAGTCATCGTTGTAAGCGGTTTTGTAGCCTGAAAACTCTTTGCTGTGTGTTGGAAGTCTAACAAGCAACCAGTGAATAACTTGATTAATCAGTAACTCCAAAAATGTCGGACGTATTACAAAACTTGTTGTCACTCTTTTCGATCTTGGACTTTTCTTTTTATGCTTCTTTTCTGACTCTAGGTTGGTTACGACCGACTGCTGACCAATTTTCTCGAATTCCCGATAAATGACGGAATCATTATCGTGATATTGATTGCACCAAACGTCCTTTGGGTACTGTGGCTTCAAATTTGTCCCCCAAAAGTAAAACGCAATATAAAACTCCTATGTTAGCGGAAAGTGTTCTCAAAAATGAACTCACCCATCAGAAAACCGTAGGGATTCGGCGGGGAGTTGTCCCCGACTTTGATCAAGTGATAAAACTGAACGGCACCCATTTTTGTCTCGAGAAAGCTCAGAGTTCTTGGGATCGTTCTGGAAATAGACTTGAGACTAACAAGGCAAGTATTTAAAAATTACTGAAAACAAGTTGGCCCAAAAAAAGGCCATTCCTCAGGGCTGAGGACTTACTGGGTCAAACCAGGCCACATCTTTTACTGTCTGATAGCTTTAGGATCTGAGAAAATGTGACCGGGCATCTAACTGAAGAATTTGACTGAATCTGTTTCGAAAATTTTGTTTTGCTCACCGTCTAGCTTGAGTAGAGGAGACCGAATCGAAGACAAAAATGAAAATATCGGGTCGAGCTCCCGGAAATTCGACCTCTTCAACCCTCACAGTACTAAAACAGTCATCAAATCGAAGTCTTCATTCCGAGTTGCCTGTGATTCGTTTCTACTATTTGCACATGCATCCACTGGTCGACACTTTCTCCTTCTTTTGAAGAAGTCACATGGAACGGCGATCTTTTCGTCTCCAGTCATATTGACCCACGGTTTCGGAGTCGACTTTGTAGCGTGCACATAAGTGTAACACCTAAAGGGGAAAGCTCTATGAAGTTTCCCATCACTCACCTTCCTCTACAATAGGAGACTTGTTTCCGTTTCTCTGGATGAATGAAAGCTTTTCCGTTCTCGAGTTTCGTAAACGGTTTGTAGTTTTTGTTGCAGCCCTCGAGGGGATTCAGCAATCTGAAACGGGCCCTAAAAGAATTAGGCAAGAAAGGCAGCAAGTTTTCGATGGAATTCAATAAGCAAAACTATAAATAAACTCTTCTTAACTGAGCAAAACCATAATTTTTGTAAAGGCTCAAAAATGGGCCAAACTTAAGATACCTTTGGTTAGTATGTAGAGTAAAAAGTTTTATTGCGCAAACAACTTTGGCCTATACTTTTTGTGATTTCAAGCCTGTTCAAAAGGAAACTTTCTCACCAACCGAATAGTCAGCCCCATCTCTTTATAATATGGATCATAGATTTTGAGCGGGCACGTATCGAAGACATCAAATTCGCTTTGATCTGAAGTTGACTTTTGAAAATGATCATCTTTAAAAATACCTGGTGAAAAGTTGATCAAACTCACAGGAGCCCAGAAATTAAACAGAATGTGGCCACAAAGGCAAACAATTATAAGAATCAAAAATCTCTCTCGCCTCGGCATAGCTTTGCTTTTGAAATTTCCGAAAACGGGAACTTGGGTTTGTTTTTACATCTTTTAACAGGGTTAGGTTCTAGATTTTGTACAGAGTTTCTCAAATTTCCATTGCTTTGCTAATTTGAAAAAGAAAATACCTAAATTCATCCCCTAAAGGATTAAACGCTTGTTTATCACCTAGTATTTCTAGGAATAACCGTGACCCATATCCAACTCAATGAATCATTGCGATGATCGATTCTCGTTTCTCTGCGAAAGCTTTTCGGTGAGAGTTCACAAATCAGCTTCTACTCATCAAATTGGCCAATTACACATTAATAGCTGCTATCTATTTTGTTTTAACTAAATTTACTAAAAATATCTTGTGGAAAGACCCCAAAAATCTTGTCCTTTTTCATTTGTTAGTGAGACTGAGTTTCCCAGTAAGTCAATCTAAAGCTTTCCGCGATATTTTGCATAAATATGTACTTACCTACTTTCCGTGCCAGTTCTCTCGAATTTAATCTGGTTTTAAATGTTATGCCTTCATCGTTTTCGCTGATTATGTTCACTACAGAATTTTCTTCTGTTTTTTGTTTGAAGATTTCTCCTACATGTATATGACATTGTTGACGCCCCTATATGCACAAAGTGCGTTGCACTTGATTAACCATTCAGTTTGGAATCATTTCGGAGGTGCTAGCAAAAGTGCCAAATTATTTGCGTCGCGTATCCTTTGAGGCAAACTTGCGCCTTTCAATCCACTTTCTTACCAACTCTGAATGAATACTTTTGGTTTTTTCTCGTCGACGATGCTCGCTATTTACATTAATAACAAAACTTTTCCAAATGCAACATTTACAGAAGCAGGAGGGACGAATTTTTTGTGCTTTCAATGTTCGCTTTTCGGCCCCAGGTGTAGGATTTTTTTTGGAAAATTCAAAAATGGGACCTAATCTATTAGAATAGTCTCCAAGATCTGTCTTTGTGGTCCGAAGTCCGAGACATTTTTTTGCTTTTTGAAAAAAACAAAGGTTTTTGGTGAAGGCAAACCTCAACACCATCCCGTAGTTTAAGCTTAAAGGACGAGCAAGATGCTAATTTACTAAACGATTGTAATCAACAAGCCGATAATTCATTCTTAAATGACACGCGGGTAGTATCATTAGAAAGGTCACTTATTTCTCTACAAAATCATTTTTGAAATAGAACCCAAAAAGCGCCCCAATTCAATATATTCAATACTGATTGCGTTTAGGAGCCTATAAAATCCATATAAAACAAAAGCTTTTTGGCATCTTTTAAGTTGATTGTGATTTAGACTGTACTACTGTATAGATCTAGATTAACTCTTTACTTACTCCCATCTCTCATCTAGCAGCTAAAGGTTAGCGTCTAAAGACTGGCTAGATGGTCTAACATTAAGGTCGAGGTTGCTCCAAACGGGGTCCAGGGGCTGTAAACTAGGCTAGGCCAGCCCAGGCCAGAACTGGTCATAACAAAAATTCTTTAATGGATGTCAAACAATTGCAGAATGGATGTACTTGTAAGGCTTAGGCTTAGGCTTAGGCTTAGGCTTAGGCTTAGGCTTAGGCTTAGGCTTAGGCTTAGGCTTAGGCTTAGGCTTAGGCTTAGGCTTAGGCTTAGGGCTTAGGCTTAGGCTTAGGCTTAGGCTTAGGCTTAGGCTTAGGCTTAGCTTAGGCTTAGGCTTAGGCTTAGGCTTAGGCTTAGGCTTAGGCTTAGGCTTAGGCTTAGGCTTAGGCCTAGGCTTAGGCTTAGGCTTAGGCTTAGGCTTAGGCTTAGGCTTAGGCTTAGGCTTAGGCTTAGGCTTAGGCTTAGGCTTAGGCTTAGGCTTAGGCTTAGGCTTCAGGCTTCGGGGCCTAGCTTGGCTCAGGCTCTAGGCCAGGCCTCAGGCTTAGGCCAGGGCCCAGGGCTTCAGGCTTAGGCTTAGGCCTAGGCTAGGGCTTAGGCTCAGGCTTCAGGCTTCAGGCTTAGGCTTCAGGCTTAGGCTCAGCCCAGGCCTAGGGCCAGGCTTAGGCTTCAGGCCTAGGCCTAGGCTTAGGCTTCAGGCCTAGGCTTCAGGCTTCAGGCTTAGGCTTAGGCCTAGGCTTAGGCTTAGGCTTCAGGCTTAGGCTTAGGCCAGGCTTAGGCTTGGCTAGGCTTAGGCTTAGGCCTTAGGCTTCAGGCTTCAGGCTTAGGCTTCAGGCTTAGGCTTCAGGCTTCAGGCTTCAGGGCTTCAGGCTTAGGCTTAGGCTTAGGCTTAGGCTCAGGCTTAGGCTTAGGCTTAGGCTTAGGCTTAGGCTTAGGCTTAGGCTTAGGCTTAGGCTTAGGCTTAGGCTTAGGCTTAGCTTAGGCTTAGGCTTAGGCTTAGGCTTAGGCTTAGGCTTAGGCTTAGGCCTAGGCTTAGGCTTAGGCTTAGGCTTAGGCTTAGGCTTAGGCTTAGGCTTAGGCTTAGGCTTAGGGCTTAGGCTTAGGCTTAGGCTTAGGCTTAGGCTTAGGCTTAGGCTTAGGCTTAGGCTTAGGCTTAGGCTTAGCTTAGGCTTAGGCTTAGGCTTAGGCTTAGGCTTAGGCTTAGGCTTAGGCTTAGGCTTAGGCTTAGGCTTAGGCTAGCTTAGGCTTAGTTAGGCCTTAGGCCTCAGGCTTAGGCTTAGGCCATTGGGTAAAATAAACAGTTTTACATTTTTTTCATTGGTAATATCACAATCGAATTTAACGTCCCGTCCAAACATTGCTGAATAAGATGATTGTCGAATTCCAGGGAATGGTATCTAAAGAAAAATGATTGTAAAAACATTGAAAGTTGCTTTACCTTCATGTTTTCATATATTGAATCATTGGCACATATTGAATCATCATCGTATCTCAGATAGAATAGCGTAAAGTGGCAAAAATCAACATAAACTTCCAAAAACGAATTTGATTAGACTATTTTTGCAAGTCTGTAAGCCTTGCAAGTCTCAGAGATTATTGATAAATCTTTCAAAATGAGGATTTCAAATTCTCTCCCACTCAACGGCGAGGAATATGAAGGAAACCATCACTCAAAACGGGCAGCTGCTTGACCTTGAGAGCTATTAATTTGCTTGATGCAAAGTCAACTAGCTAACACCAAGAGTCTGGCACCAACATTTTCGTGTTTGTATTATTGTATTCCGTAGTTTATCACTCACTCAATTCCGTAGTTTTATCTGAGTTAACATAAATTAATACTGAAAGTATCTCTTCGCTCTCAAAACCAACGGATATTGAGACTGAAAGAAGTACGTTAAACAGTGTGCTGGCTACAGCACCTCAGAATGAACAGTTATAGCCAGACGTATGAGCTAAGTAGACCTATATTTGACCTATAACTTTTTTCT